ATTTATATGTTACGAAAATATTATGTCCTAGGTATTAATAAAATTATTTCAAATTACTGTTATAAAGGTGGCTTAAAATTTTGGATTAGTTGTCAGAACGTATAAAATGTGCATTGAGAAGACGAGTCGAGATATATATAAAGATATTTCTACTTCCTTTTGTAAGATCTATCGACACTAACTGAAGTTATCATGAACACTCACATTCACCAAATAAAAAGCGACTTCATTGTAAGCATTGTTGTTTTTTTATATCAAAGGTAGCAAACGAGCAGTTGACCTACCTGATGGAAGGTGGTGACCGTTATCCATGGACATCTGGAACATTAGGAATTTTGCAGGATAAAAAGGATTTTTCTAGGCTTTTCATTATTTTTTTATCCGTCTAAGTCTAAAATCATTACGTAAACCTGAAGGTTCTAAAAAATGAAACCTAGGTTTTATACTCTTTTCACGTTGCTTTTAGCATTATACTAATTGCGAAATAGGATCAAAGTGTTAGATTTTTTTTTACTGATTCGGTGGAAACATAAGAAGATAAAAATTGAAGAGGCTTTGGAAAGAACCCAAAGAACATTTAAATCCACTAGAGTACATAAAATTTTAGGCAATAAGTCAATAATCACAAATTTCCAGACCCACTAAAACCTTTTGAACCCTACATAAGTTAATTTCCTTTTTGTCTCCTTTGTTTATGGTCGCTGCAAAGGAGAATATTCAGGAGAAATAATTTGACCTTGTATTTGAGTTATAAATTCATTTAATTCCAATTTGTTTTTGATTCTTAAATAACAGACTTCCTATTGGTGAGTAAATAGTAGATAATACAAAAAAAGGTTATAACGATCTTTTAAGTCCACTTATTTACATATCCTCAAATTAAAATAGAATGATCCCTCAATATAGCTACCCAAGATTTAATCAGAAGGGGCTCGCTACTTTTGCGACATACATTTTCACTCAGACAAAATCACTTACACAAACACTCACGTACAAACATTTGAATTTATAATATCAGGAGGATACAAATAAAACCGTTTTAGAAAAAGCCACTCTGTTCACTTTGATAACAAAATATTTAAACAATTGCCCTGTATATTTTTATTTCATTACCTAATATATTATTTGGCAAATAAAACGCTCCACAAACATTGGCCGTAAAGCATTCAATGTAGCTATTTATTTGATTTATAAAGCACTGAACCTGAAAAGTACACGTAAGGAAGTTTTAAATATATATACGCTTCACTCCTAAACGGTTTTTAAAGCACTATACTTTATTTACTTTTAAACTAAGTACTGAATTTAAATTATTAACATAATATATATAAAGTTTTTAAAACAATAATTCCCCAAACTATAATTGGTACACTAGTTATCTAACACAATCCAAATCTGTCCACCAGAAATGACCTCTTATCCGGCTAAACGTACCCTTTGTGATATTGTGGCTATAACCTATCTCTATTTTAAATGTAAACCAGATCCATTTAGCCGTTTTATTGTGAATAAGTAATGAAATGCGTTCAAACAAATATACTGAAAGCAGTATGGTATTTTAACATATGGAAAGAAAATATTACTTATGAGTTTAGTATTGGAAAGGCATGAAAACCTTTTTAATATTAGATGATATCATTTTTATATGGATAAATTTCAGTAGGGGCACATTAAAATATGTTTATTTGTTAATGGTATTCCATATTGAACTCTCGAAAGCCCAAAAGCCTTGGCACAATGGCGATGATGTCTGGAGACGTGATCATCAATCTTAAAATATTGCTTCTCCGAAAATGTTGCAGTTTATGTACTCGTTTTGACATTCATTAGAAATTCTGGTATAATATTAGATTTTATCATTATATGACTTTCTAGATAAATTCTTAAAAATAAAATGCATGGTTAAAAATAAATAGTAATTTTTATGAACGTATCATTAAGCTAGATGGACATGTAATATTTATTTAAACAAACTCTTAGTAATTTTATTTAAAGTACAAATACATTTCAGAATACAAATATGTTTTACTTTGAATCCATTTACCGTTTTCAGGAATAATCATCACAGATAAACAGGCGGGCAAACAATCATTTTGAAGAGTTTTTTTGTTTTAAGGTATTATAATTACCAGTATGACTTACGAGTGTAGTTACAGATTATCAAAATATATTTTTAACAGAAATTCTATAAACATCCGAAAACTGCTACCAAAACTCTAATCCTGCAACATAAAACATAGACTCGACACTAATACGTGAATTTCCCTCGAGTCTTCGTTTCGCTAAATTAAAAACTCCATGACGATCTCGCCTTTAATAATGTTTCTTTTAAAATTCCACTGAATTTATCCGTTTCCGAGATATTTATAAAGCAATCTGGTTCAATATCTTTTAATTATTGCATCATATTTATAGCTCATAGGAATTTAATTAATCTCTTCTAACACCTTTATTTATCTTTCGTTAATCATTTAATATAATTTAAAGCGTAAATATTAAATTTGAATGAGTTTATTATAATTAATGCACGTACAGATTCATGTTACCTGTTTACCGTTCGCAAATAAATCAGAATGGTTGAATATAAATCAAATAAAAGATCATTATAATACCAACAACAATATATTTTTAACCTAAATATCTCACATTTCTGTTAAAATAAATTCAATGTTTATTTATGTTGAGCGAAAACATAATATTCGTAAACAACCCTTTCTCATTTCCCTTCAAAATCTAATTACAACGAAAATTGGGCTTTAACATTTTCTCTGAACATTCTTTGTTATAATAACTAACATGATTCAATGTGAATGCCCTCGGGCGAGGCTCTCGCCAGCTTATCAAGAATCGCTTTCCCGAGGCCTATACATCATTTGTATTGTCGAATCTCGGAGATAAATAAAAGCAGAAAGAGGCGTCATCTCGCACTCGGCACTTCGGTTTTGTAAATAAATCATGGTCACGTGTCTGCGCATACGAAGCAGAATTCGCGGCGAAAACGCTCGGAAAACACTCGCTCGGTGACGACTTGAATGCAGATTGAAGTGTGGAAACACACGGCTGATATATTCACTATCTTTAATTCTACATATTATTGTGTTTTAAATACGTAAATTTGATGATAGTACGACCGTTGTATTTACAAAAAAACGGTTGAAAGATTTTCTTGTATGTTAAAATTAAAATATTCAGCTCTATGATAGTTACTAAAATGATAAAAAAATTATAGTTAAGCATATCTGAATAATATATACACAAGTAATTCCTAATCACTTATGTTACTTCAAGATTCAAACACCTAAATGGTTATATCTCTTTCTGTTTCATACATTTATATACCAAATGCATACCTGTATGTGTTCATTTGGGTATTGGCAAGGAGGCGTGAAGGTCTGAATATTTGAATGAGGTGTCTGTAATACGAAAAATCAACTTTTGATAGTCGGACGTGATGAAAATAGAATTACTTTAAACATAACAAATAACTTAGGAAGTAACCGTTTGATATTTAGAAAACAAACAGCATTACTTACTGTAAACTAAACACTTATCAAATATCATCAAGACATTAATATTGCAGATACATATATCATAATTTTCAGTTACATTTCTATAATACCATTTAATAATTTTCTTAACGGATAAAACTGAAATAAAATATAAAATGAAAATTTTAATGTAAAAGGAAATAAGATTTTCTCGAAAGAAATATTAAAACATCGCCGAGGGAGTTAATTCATCTTCATCAGAATAAAAAAGGTTTTTAATATTTCAACTTTTAATATTGTTCTTATGCAAAGATATTTATGTGGTTATGTCGCTCGGGTTACTTTCAAAGCTTTAAGACTAGTTTTTATCACCGACTTCTCTCGTAAATGGTTAGCTATTTTAGTTTTCTGATTATTTTCTTCATTAGTGTGTTAAGGTGTGATTGATGTTTAGATCTCATTGTAGATTAATTTTTATACAACTTGAACGTAATAAATTAAAAATACATATATTAATTGAATTAACTTCAACTGTTTCAAGATAAAGATAAGATAAAAATACTTTGTGTTGCTATTAGAATGACAAGGTGCACGTAAGTAAACATAGCTATTTTAAAATCAGAAACATACACTTCAGAATTATTTAAATGATTATATTTTAAGAAAATAATTTAAACCATTACCAAAATTAGGTTATTTATGCTAACTACGTCACTGTCAAAAGCTTTTGTCAGGCACTGAAACGTTAGGAAATATTATTCTACTTAATTAAGTCTTAGTAAATAAAAAATAACAGTATGTATAAGTTAAGTACCTTAAAAACAAAATAATATACAATAAAAAATTAACTTCTATGATTTCTAAAGTGATCTTATATTTATATAAGATTTGCATTTTTTTAGTTTCAATTCTATCATTAATTCGACGTTTCGGTTACCTTACAACCACCATGAGCACATAAATCGACATAAAAGTGTGGTGTAAAACTTAAATAAAAAGAAAAGATATCAGAAATATTTTGTTGTATTTAAAAGACTGTTTTATATTTTTACATAATCTTTCACACGCCACATATCTGTAACTGGATTTTCAATTTATTTTTAAATATCTCTTTATTCATTAATATATTAAATAAATAGAATTAAATAACAATTTTGTGTTAAGATGTTTATTTAGTGTTTTATAATTAATATTTTTTTCTGTCAATAATCTCTATATATTTATTAATAATTATAACAATTGAGAAGTTTACAAAGTTTGGAATATGACTTTTGAGACGATTAAAAATTTAAGTTTAAAATTTAATTAGCGTAGTTATCCAAAATTTATTTTCTTATATGATGACATTTATTTATGTATGAATAATAATCTATTTATATCAATAATTAAGTAAAAGTTAAGCATAATGTTGACCCATTTCAGAGAAAATAAAGATATGTTCATAAAATTATATAATGAGATGTATGTAAATATTTAATTTGAACATCACAGACGCTCAGTTATTTTGGCTATTTACAAAGGAAGATATGTCACTGATCTAATCCAATCTCTCATTAAAGGAATGTTCGTATAGACTCCAGGCCTATTTTTACCAGCACATCCCACACCATACGACACAAGACCCACTAGTTTTCCATTGTATACAGCTGGACCTCCAGAATCACCCTAAAATTAAAGAGTGTTTAGTATAATGAACTAGTCTAGGAAATCTTTAAGAAAACTTCTGAATACAGTTCTGTTGAGACGAATAACAAACTCAGCTATTATTTACAGTATAACATATGTTCAATCGATGGTATAATTACGAGCATTACAGTCTAAAAAAAACTATAACAAATTGTATTTACGATAATTATGTTAACTTAATAATTGTAAAAAAGTAAAGTTAAATATAAGTTTATAGATTACATAAATGGATCTAATATTTTAAGGATATATACTACGAGATCTCAACATCTTGTGTATGTGGTCACAGTTGCTGAAAAGTAACCGAAACGTAAAGAGTATGTAGTTTACAAATACAAAGCACACGTACATAGTATAATCCGAAAACTATTAGTTTCATTTAAATGAATAAAACTCGCGAAGGAATTAGATCTCAATATGTATTGATAGTGTTTATTTAAGAGTTGCAGCTCTTAATCCGCTTGAGGCCAACAATGATTTCATTTGTATAATTAAAATCGATTCACTATACTATTATGAAAATAAATTAAATGAACGTGTCGAACTGTATTTACTTTCATCAATTTAATTTTTATTTTTTTTTACAATCTTAACTCATTTATTGTGACACTTAAAAGAAATGGTTAATTTACTTTATTTATGTATTTATAGGGTTAAATCGTTATAGTTTTTTTAAGTTTTTCATTTTAGATAGAAGACATTAAAAAATTTAAAGGAAAATTTTAATAATCCCTTACTTGACAAGAGTCCTTAGTGCCCTCTAAGTATCCAGCACAAAACATTCTGGGAGTAATATTCTTATACCCAGCATCTGGGAGATTCCTACATTCATCTGAAGACATTATCGGCACACTAACGCGACGTAAGATATTTTGCATAGAGCTTTCCTGGAGTGTGATAAATGATAAATTAATTTGAGACAGAAAACACAAAAAAGAAATTTAAGTTACGATAATCTTGTAAATGTCTCCTAATTTTTATTATAAATAGTTTTATTGTATTGTTGGATATTTGCCAAATATTTGTTTAGGTTTTTAATTAATATAAATTATAAAATCTGATTACTCAATAGTCATGATTGACAAAGCGACGAGTATACTGCGATATGGTGTACTTTTTGCCTTACATGTGTCAATAAGTTTATGTGGAAAAAAAATTAATAATCCTTATCTTCTACCAAAGAACTCATGAAAATATAAATGAATACGTAGCTATTACATAAATAAAATAACTTACTCGATATTCCAAATGTCCCCACCCACTGACGGCTATCAGATTCCCCGGACGAATATCATTAACTGTTCCAATAGCTATTGGTCTGGCCATGGAGTTAACTGGAATAGACTGTTCCAACAACAGTAATTGATAATCGTAATCATGGGAGTGAAGACTAGAGCGATTCCAGCCAGGATGGACGAAATGACTACAGATGAGGTAAGGTTTTGCGTCATCACGGAAAGTTGAGCCAGCGTAGACGTGAGTATGGTGTGTTCTGCAAGATTGTGCCTTTTTAAGAAGAGATTTTTTATATGTACCTAATAATGAGAATGTTAAAAGACTGCACCTAATATTGCAACACGCTGCAAGCTAATTCGCAACGATAAATAATTATCGCTGTAACATGGCTATGACACGCAATAATAAAATGTCAATTTAATAGAAACATGGACCATTACATCACTGTATAAATTAGATTTCCTTGCATAAGTTTGTCATAATTAATACTGATAAGGAATGTTTTTGCTAAATTGTTATATAATTATTGTGAATAAGTTAAAAGACTACTTACTTACAATGGGCAGCAGTTAGAACCCAGTTGGGAGCAATTATTGAGCCTCCGCAATATTTTCCATAAAGTACCTGATAAGGAGCATCCTGGATAGAAATTTCTTCGCCGCCGACTATTCGGAAACCAATCTGAAATGATTGTAATCAGAAGAAAACAATGTAATGTGCAGATGTAGGTGACAAGTTAAATAAAAACACTCCTATAACTATACGTCTTAAGAGATCACTCATCATTGTATATAAAATAATCATCATTTTAAAATTTAGGATATTTCGTTAAATATAAGTCAAAACAGAACTATAATCAACCAAATTTGTATTTTTTTCATATTATTCTCAATTATATCTATGGCTTTAATAAATAGTGTATGTAATGAAAAAATTTTTATAACAAAGTCGACTCATGTACTATTTGCAAAATGTCTTAAATAACACTTATTTATCATGCCATGCCTCTTCACATATATATATATATATAATATTCCATCTTTTAACTCTCATTTCACATCTGAACATAAATTATCTTTAATATTTCTTTGGACGTGACAATTATTAATACTAACCTCTTCGTTCATGGAGTCATCAATATTTCCAGCGAGGATTTCGTGATAGTAGTAATAATGACGAGGAGGAATAGACCTCAGTACAACCGTGTTGAAGTAGCTCTTGATACATTCCAGAGTAAGAAGTCCTTTGTTGGGTGGAATCGTTACTAAAATATGAAAATTATTATACACTTACTTCAATAATAATAAGGATAGATGATATATATGTACATGTTGCGTAAACAAGTTAAAGGAACTATTTACAAGGCATTATATATTTCTGTTTTTTGACACTTATTACTCCACAAACCTACCTACAATCACAAATAAATATAACTCCATTTCAATTAGGTTCATTAACGACATCAAACCTAATCTATTTGATTAAAAGTATTTTTATTACAATTATTGCTGGTCAGAGTATAATTATTTTCAGTCACACTTTAAATAATATTAAAACAATTTTAATTAATAAAATACATCGAGTATATATTTAGAAAAACGATTTATAATATTATAGGCACGTCCAACTTTGAATTTCAACAAACCATTTAGATCAAGACTGGATGCGACACAAAATAACACAAAAAACACGAGTACTTGACACATGTTTGTGACATTTATGACATAACTCAAGGACTCAGTAAGTCTCTGATATCGGCCCTAATATGAAGCCGAACCAATGAATATTTTCCGCTTGCCATTCTTATATATGATTACAAAAACGATACAAAGTTATTAACATCCAAACATTTTTATTTTGCTGTTTATTTTATAATTACATTACATAAAATGTATGTTGCAAAACTTTACACGAGATATGGTTTGAAAAGAATTAAGAGGTTTATAACACTATGAATATATAATAATAGAGTAGATTAAGAACATTTAATTTGAAATAGAAAACAAGATACTTTCATTTTATTTTAGTTAATATATGCAAAAGAACTACATACTTTAAATATTGGATTGTTTTTGGGGAATAAATATTTTACTTTTTTATTTATAACTTATTGTCACTAACGTTATAAGTTGACGCAAGTTACTTCGTCAGAATGATTTAAAAGGTTTCGTCAATTTTGTAATAATCTACTTAAGACCCAATGTACGTATTTCAAAGTGTAATTTAAAACCACTTCATATTTTAATTACCTACTTATATACATAAAAATTAAGGTATATATGTTGCTCTATAATCTATATATAGGTTATAAAATTGTGAAGAAAATTGACAGTGTATTAAGTGAACTTATTTTTACATCGCGTCTTTTTGATTTTAATTACTCTCTGGCACAATAACAATACCTAACTAAATTAGGGGAATACAGATATTTATAAAATTCTTTTAAAACATAATAGTTTCACAGTGTGACGATTAGACAGTAGATAAAAATAGTAAGTTACTTCTTCTTAAAGCGGTTCAATAAACATCATAAAAAAACAACGTATGTAAACATTTTTCTATAAATATGTGCCTTTTTATATGCATTAAACATTTTCATTCAAATGAAAACAAATTTCTTATATCTAAAGCACCGCACGTCTCAGTCGGTGGTTATACCAATCATTACCTTCCTACGTGCGGAGGTTAAAGCTATTATTTTTCTTTTAATTTATCATAAAACAGAGTTATTATCTTCTTACTCTTAAAACGTAAATAGTGCTGAACTCCCAAACACCCATCCTTAGAAGTCAATTTTAAGCTATGATTCAAAATAACAGCCAAGTATGAAGAATAATAGTTTACTTCGTTTGCTACTCCCTTTTTCATGGTACATATAAAGCGATTTTTTATTTTTAGTCTGATTTTTTTTCCTATTTATATTTTAAATCTAAAAGAAAAATTGACATCCTAGTGGTTGTAATAATGTCAAATCTGGTTAGAAGATAAAAATCTTTGTACAATGGAAACATCATACAAAGATTGTGAGAAATTTCAGATTGTGTTCGAGCTGTTGTCACATAAATTTATCAAACTAGGGTCTTACTTTATTTTATCTATCTACCTTACATGCATACATCGATACATAATTATAGGAAATGGCAATATAATAATAGTAGCGTGTCATCATCATCATCAGCCTATCAGAGCCCACTGCTGAGCAAGGCCTCTTTCTGACATGGAGAAGGTTTGAGCATTAATCACCACGCTTGCTCAAGACGGGTTGGTGATTTCAAACTTATAATTATGAAACTATAAGTCCAGGTTTCCTCACGATGTTTTCCTTCACCGTATGTCAGTGGTGTCTAAATATTCTCAGAAAGTACATATGACTCCGAAAAATTACATTGGTACTTGCCCGGTTTGAACACGCGTCCTCGGCAACGAGAGGCGGGCCCCTTAACCACTAGGCCACCACTGACTTTTTTTTTATAGTAGCGTGTACTAAATGAGAATATATATAAGCTTGATATTGTTATTGAAAAGACGAGAACAGTAGAAATTTATAACCATTTAAGTTAGACTAAACAGGAAAAGTAGTAAATTACACGCGATTGATAAAAAGGAAACTATAGGTCACAGTTTACTTCAACAGTCCCGTAAGAGCTGGACACAAAAAATATCAAGTACGCAACATCCAAAGAAATATATGCCATTCGTCTAGCTATTAATCAAAACATGGTGAAAAAATATTTAGTAAAATAGTGACCTTAAAAAAAACAAAGAGGAATACAGGAAAAACAAGCATAAAATAATTTTGCACTAAAATACTATTTCCTAACCCAATTCATCTAATCTAAATACCTAATGTAGATAGACAAACGCTGTTTTTATTTACTTTCCAATAATCTAATTGAATACCTAACTACATAAATACAATTTATCAATATCTAGTGATCTTTTCAAGTCAATATTGAAAAAATAATGAACTTAGGTACAAATAAATAAATCAAAATCGGTTGTCTTCGAATTTACTCGTTCATTTGTCGCACACATACTTAATTCTAATTTTAGACTTATACTATATAAATCGTAAATTATTGGGTAACAAACAAACAAACACAGATGAATGGAAAACCTCCTCCTTTTTTGAAGTCGGTTGAAAAATAATTTCATTACCTAAACTAAAATTAACTTCTCTCTCGGTAGCCAGAGGTCAAAGATGAATATTTCGAACGAGCTATCAGTAGGTTTTGTGAGAGAGGGTACTAGGGCTATAAAATCAAACGTCAAGCCTTACTATATACTTAAAGCGGCTTCGGATTGGAACATAACGATAGATACATATGAGAGACAATACAAAATCCCAGAGGATATTGTGCATCGGCCTACAAACCAAATATATTTATGTATTCACGAATTTTAAAGTACGTTGTGATAATAGGCCTTACGGTTCCTTAGGAGACCATGCCATCAAGGTTAATAAATATTAAGAGCTCACTAACGAACTCTCGAGAAATAGGTTACAAATCCACGATTTCTATGAGGTAGAAATGGGAGCGAGAGGTATAACAGCTGAATCTTTCTATAACCCAATAAACTACATATTTGGGCCTGTCCAAATATGATATCAATTTATTCTAGGAACGTACTTCGACGGCAGCCCTAGTAGGTTCTTCTCAAATTTGGTTAGGAAGAGAGGGGAGCTTAGACGGTGGAGGTGAGCGTTTAATCCGCGTTAGATATGAGCCCCTTTAACATACACCTTAGTCGCTAATCCCAGGCACTGTTGAAGCTCCTATCCCTGCAATGCGATGGACCGGCATTCGTACGATAAATGGAAGGAATGCTCAGAGGTTTCGTTTCATGTAAAATGTTAGAAAGAACCTACTTATTTCATTCAATGACTTAAAGTATTTATTTAAAATAATTCAAACTTTTACATCACTAATAACTGCACTTTAAGTAATTTTAACACTGCACGTGTTCCCATGATCATTATTTACTTAGCTATCAATCATCTAGTTGTTGACAACCGTATCAAAAGACGAAGAAATGTTGTAAAAATTACTTTATGCCTAGTCCATACAGTTAATCAACACCTTCAGCTTGTGTCAGTGTCAAAGTGATAAAATGAATAATAACCAATTTCGGTCTTCAAGACTTTCATAGTGTTGATACTTAAAGACTACTTTTTCTTTTCCCACTCTCATTTTCTTTTTCTCCATCAACTATGTCGCCGAACGTGGCCATTTCATATTTTGTTAGTGATGACTGTGAGTTTTAATATAATTATTTTTATCTTAGACGCAACCAATTGAGATCTAACATTGATTTTGTATGATTCCATATGCCATTAAGTTTTCAGAGAAAGGAGACATTTAATCTATTGACCTAACTAAAAATCCTAAACCTTTAAGATTTTGTTGATTTCGTTCTATATTTTTCGTACTTCCTCATCCAAAAATAATTTTTTTGAACATTTAAACTTATTTCTGAATAATAGGTTTGTTTTTTATTGCTTTAAATATTTATTTCTACTCCTACAATAGAATTGGAGCAGTAATATGTGTAATCATTAATACAATTTAATGATTGCAGAATGTCCAGCTGACAGTGTTTATGTTTTTGGCTTTTATTTTTTGCTTATAATATATTTTTATCCTTAATACATCCTTTTGATATGGAAATTTGTTAGTTTTAGACCGATACTTGGTCCCCAAAGTTAGGAATTCGTGTCAAAGAGGAATGTACAAAGTGTGTTAAAGCAATACATACGGTAACTGGTATGATAGTCTTTGTCACTTGAATTCGTACAAAATACAATGTTATGCCTTGATCCTACAACAATAATCTATTTCAGGATAAATAAGAGCCTCAGTGTTGTTAAACTATTATGCTGTAGTCAAAATTTAACATTTATTTCATAAATTTAGTATGTTTTACATCTGTGAAATCAGTTTTTGTTTATTTATCCTACTTTTATTGTTTCACCACCTATGGCTGTAAGAACATAGATGTAATCCCAATGTACTTACAATTATAAAATACACTACTTATACCTAAGACTACATTGTTGTCTCTATGTCATTAAAAGAGTAATATTTCCAGTTTCATCTCAATAGTTGTGTACTTCTGCGAAGTCCAAACGTCACTCGTTAAATGATATTTCGTGCATTCAGAGTTATCGATCGATGTTCGTTAAATTTTTAATTCAATATTTTTAATCTATTCATCAAGTGTAAGATAAAGATAATAACAATAATGGAACAATAAAAACCATTTTACAATATGGAATGGGACAGATGCTGTCTAGTAATGTACTTAGAATTGAAAAGCACAACATTTTTTGTTATAACAGTTTTTTTTATTTTGGATCTTCTCGCTGAAAAGCCATTGATCCACTAATTTCATTTCAAAGTCTGAAACAACCTCAAATTTGGATGATACAAACACATCAAAGACTAAATCACTCGCTATGGTTACAGTTAAAGCTGGGATTTATGTTTTATTCCTCTACTGTGATATCAACCCTTCAATGCTTTCTATTACAATTACTTATGATGACTATTAAAACAAACTGCATACTACTTTAGATTATAAATTTTTTTTAGATTTTCGTTAAATAAAATAAATATCTAAATAGAATATATAAATTTTGTAAGTTTTGGAGAATTTAACGTCGAAGGCAGCCCTAGTAGGTTCTTTTCAAATTTGGTTAGGTAGA